ATGAGGCTGGCCCCGGAAAACACGCGCTCCCCCTGCTTCTAGCAGCTTCCCAGGGGAGCCGGAGTGCCCTCGGCCACGCCCCGCCTCACAGCGCTGGGGGCTGTCTGGGCCTGGGCTGAAACCCAGGCGGGCCTGCAAGGAGAAGGAAGGCAGGCCGGTGTTTCGTCCGGTTTGGTGCCTGAGCTGCTCTTGTACTGCCTCTGAGTGCAAACTAAGTCTCAAGGACTTGACAATCTAAATGGTGTCACTGTGACAACCGGAACTGGCATCTAGATTTAAAAAAAAAAAATTATTTGCAAGCTACAAACTTGAATGTAAAGCTAAAAATTAGCCTAGCTGAATCTGCTGTAGGCCAAGAAAATGAGGAGAGGGGGGGGCTGGTGCATCCTCATACAAGTGCTGTTAAAAGTGGGATGGGCTGCTTGCATCCAACAGAGACTTGGAAGCTTTGGATCCCGCAGCAGAATGCAAGTATGGCTATTTTGTATCACAAATCAGGATCCCAGTTCAAAAGCTCTGGAAACACCTGATTAAAAAAAAAATGATTGTTTCCCCAATGATTGCACGTTGAAGGAGGCTACTAGAGCTTGGGGCTGTGGTGGTGGTGGTGGGTATAGATCCAGACACAGGCTTTTGCAGAGCTAGGATTCAACGATTAAGTGAGCTGTGAATTTTTCGTGTAATAGTAGTAGCTGGGCTTAATGTACCATTGAAATAGAAATTTTCAGCAGTTGAATCTGAAGTGGTCTAAATTTCACCCCCATCCGCACACCCATTACTTCACGCTCACAAGTAGCACTTCTCAGTACAAAGTCCTGCTTTTTAAGAGTATGAAATCGTTAGCACGGCAGTAAGAACAGGCAGCCATTTTCATGCTCAGGTTGTTTCAGAATGGGGATGCATGAAATACAAGTTTTAATCAGAATGGCTACAAAATACTGACATCTTGGCATTTCCATTCGTAAAAGGGCAGCCTGCTGAGCAGGCGGGTTCAAGTTTGTGGTGATTGCTAGTTCTTTACTGACTCCTAAAGCAAACAGGAGCCACTTTGCAGACCATCCTTCCCAAGGGAATGAGTATTCCACTGGTACAATAAAGAAAGCAAACATGGCATCTTGGGGCACTGTGGAGCAGTTAGCATGACATGAGCTCCAGGTATAATCCTCAAAATCGGAAACAATTAGATAGTTTTATGGCATGTAAATTGGCAGAGAAAATTGGACATTTTGGAGGGGGATGAACTGCATAGAGGTAGCGTATTTTATTTTTCATCGGTGTCATGCAATAGTAAGTTGAATGGCTGTGTTTAGCATTTCCATAGCACCAGGAAGCGTGTGTTAAAGTACTTATTGCTGAATAAGAAGCTTTTAACACAGATCTTTACTGACTCAGTAAATTCCTAGTGAGTTTCTACAGGAAACGATTCTACACCGGGAGCTGTTCAACCTTTTTATGTATGTTCTGGAAATACACATGAGATAGTGCTGATAAAACCTGCACCAACACAAATATTAGTAGAGTGATAAATAGCAATGAAAACAGGGCAAC